CGGGCAGCCATCGCGTGCGCACCCGCACCCGCGGGAGCCGCCGCGCAACCAGCCCGGGAGGCGCACCTGCCCCGCGCGCCTCCGGAGCAGCCGCCCCGGGAGCAGCCCCGCCACCGGCCCGCTCGGCGCGCACCCCAGCCGGCCCGCTGCAGCAGTGCGGCCGGGCCGGCCAAGCCCCCGTTTGCACGGGGCCGAGCGCAAGAGGGGCTCACCCCCAGGCCGCTGCCCCCCAGGCCCGTGCAGCGCCTTCCCCGGTTGCAGGCGGAGAAGCGGCCAAGTGACTAAGCGCCTGGCCTGGCCCAGCCCGGCCCAGCTACCGGTTGGGAGGCCGACCTTGGTCCCGGCCAAGCCCATTGTGTGGGAACCTTGGCAGGTTTAACGAAGACACGGTCACCGGCTTGGGCCCCCCTGGGCTACTGATTCCACCTCTGGCATGATTTTTAGATGTGTTTGCATTTTAACAGGTCTGCTCATTTTATTAGCAATTATGGCAAGATGCTATGGAAAGGTTTTTGTTTTTTTTAAGGCGGGATATGAATCTTGGAAACAAAGAATTAACTGAGGATGTGAGCAAGAAACCAAAGACAGAAAGAGGCCCCCCCCCCCCGTCCCCGTGCAGGTTTCAGGGTTGGAATGTGTGGCACCTCTCGCCGCTTCTCTTACACGATTTCAAGACTTTACAAATAGTGACCTTACAAAATATTTAAGTGCGGAACTGAATTTGTATTTTTTGAAGCACGTGCTTTGTGAGCATGCAATTCCAAGCGGCTTCACATTTCCTCCTTAAACAAGCAGTTCCAGCAGAAGTTGGGCTGTGAGTCACTCCCAAGAACGAGATAAGCTGCTGTTCTTTCTATGCTTGCAATCATAAATTGGTAATTCTAAAGAAACAGAAAGCGGGGCTTGCTTGGAATGTGAGATTGCAGACCAAGAGAGGATAAAGAAATCTGGCTGCATTACATGGTTTCGACACGCATCCTGAGGAAGCCTTGTGGCTTGTAACCGATGTTTTACAAGACGGCCCTTTCAGACTAAGGGCCTTCATCTCCAGTTACAATACTTGATTCGTGCTAAGTTATTACAGTATCTGAACAAAACAGTCTACATTTCTGCCAAACATAACCCAGGATTGGGCAAACGGAAGGCTAAATGCTCTCATTTAGTTTCTTCTGGAGACTGACTTTGTCACACCTGGTCTGTTGGCCTGAGCGTTTGGCTGCAAAGGGGGTGGGGATGGGGGGGGGCAGAGGATAACTAAGAACAGAGCCAGAAAAAATGTGACTGAGCATTCACGAGACACAGGAAGGATGAGAAGAGAAATTACGAATACAGCTTCTAAAGAACAGCTGGACAAATTTCCACACCCCCTCCAGCCTAGTGCCAGGTGGGAAAAATGCGGGTGGCTATGTCAGTGGTCAAGATGACCTGCAGGCACCTGTCTCGTGCTAATCCACGCAAGCGACCGATGCCCCGGCTGTCAAAACGCGCGAGACACAAACCTGGCCAGGAACCACAAACGGAAGGTAGGGTGCAGCTTTATGCAGCTTAACCAACACTGGGGATATAAGAATAATTTTCGAGGCACAGGCGCTCCTAATACCAGCTCCTCTGTCCACACGCCCAGGGGGAGGCCAAGAACACAGGAAGCCATGATTTATGTCCACGGGGTAGGTGTCTTGCATCTGCTAAGAGGCCCTGGTGTTGCTCATTCAAGACCCAGCTCGCCACCCCAACATACAGTATTTCGGCACTATGAACACGGCAGCTCCCAACAGATCCGTCGGGTTCAGACTGCCGGGGTTCGCGCCAGAGGCCTGCTGCCCGGAGAGCAGAGGTGCTACCAGCAGGGCTGTTACAGGCCCTCCTCGTCTCACCCGGCGGCATGATCAGAAGCCAGACCCAGAGAGGCCTCTCCTCCACCAGACCTGCCCTGGAGCTGTTCTCCCAGATGCCAGATGCTGCAACTCCCATCATTCCCAGCCAGCACAGGTTGGACTGGGGGGAGCTGGAGCCCCACACATGCTGGGGGAGGCAGCTCTGGAGAGGGCCTCGCCTGTGCCCACACCGCACCAACGCTTCCTCGCTCGGGAAGACCAGCCAAGCCCCCGCCTGTGCCGTGTCACCTACCGCATGCCCACGCTGCTCTCGGCCAGGGGGGCCAGCGAGGAGGAGTCCACGGAAGAGGAGGCGCCGATGCTGGCCAAGCTGCTCCGCCGCCTGCCAGCCATCCGGAAGGAGCTGGCCACCAGCTCGTCGTCGGAGGAGTTGTCTTCGAAAGAGCCTAGCACGAACGTGGCCATCGCCTGCCGCTTCCTCTGCGCCAGGCTGATCTCCGGCTCTTCCCACGAGAGGGACTTCATCTGCTTCAGCAAGTAGCCCGCCCGGCCCAGAGCCCTCCCTGAATCCGGGGCTGGCGGCCCCTGGGGCTGCGCGCACTCCGAGGCCGAGTGGGGCACGGGGGGCTTCGCCTGGCAAACGGGGTGCTCCGGCCGCTTGGAGGCCTGCGGGGGAGTCTGGCCGCTCGGAGGCTCTGCCACGGGGGTCTGTGATTCCAACGCCTCTGGGGGCTGGAGAGCAGGTCCATGGGAAGGCAGCTTCTGCGTCTCCGAGGCAGCCGGCTGCTCCGGGGGATCCGGCTCCGCCTCTGTCTGCTTAACACTGGGATGCGCGGCCATCTTGGTCCGGAGCAACCATACCACGACAAGGAAGACGGCGGCGGCGGCTAGCAGGAGCATTCAAAAATCCTAGGAAAAAGCAGGAAAACACATTGTGTGTGTGTGTGCGCGCGCGCATGCGCGCGCTCGCACAACTGTCTTTTATTTAAGCAGTAAATCTCCTGCCCTGATATCCTAACATTTCAAAGCCGCTTACATAACAAATTCGTGAAATATAATGTCAACACTGAAGTGAAAATACTAAATACCTTCAAAATGTTGCAAGTACAGAAAAACAGCGCAACGCGACAATAGTCAGGGGCTTCCAAAGCCCCCGTGGAGGGACGCGGGGAAGAGAGTTCCGGGGCTGGGCGCCACCACGAAGGCGGCCCCGGCGAGCCTGTCGATCGCTCCGACTGCTGCCCGTTTCACCCTGTGCTCCCACCCAGCAGGAGCGTGACCTCAGGAGCCCCCTTGAATGCACGCACACCCCCACACAAGGGCACGTTTCCAAGGGGCCGGGTGGCCGGCTTGCCTTGGGAACGCCCTGCTGCGGGCGGCTCGGAAGAGGGTCTGGCCCAGCCGTCAAGCCTGAGAGGGCTGGCCAGAAGGGGACACCCCGACCCATGCGCACGGCTCCAACAGCACCACCGCAATCCTTGTACCGCTGCCCAAGACCTCGCCTGGAATGCTCAAGGACAGCCACCGCCCCCCCCACCCCCCGCGTCTGATCCAGGGCCAATGCAGCCCCCCTCAGCACAGGCCGGGCTTACCGCGTAGGTCGTAGCGCGCTCTGTGGCCAAGCCAAAGGGTGCCTGAAGCACGAGCTATTTTTGTTCTCTAAAAACAGCCCCGCGGCCACAGCAGCCAGGCTGCCTTGCGGCAGGGCCTGGATATGAGGCAACCCCCCCCCCACCCCGGTGCCACGGCGCGCTGGCCTCCCCGGCCTCGCCGAGGCACGGCCACCTGGGCGGCAAGGCGACCTTCCTACGGCCGGGGGAAACGTGGCCTAGGACTCCTTGGCCGGGCTGGGGTGGCCTCATGCCCAGACGTGGGAGCTGGGCTTGGAAGCAGCAGCAGAACGCCCCCTGCTCGCCCACACGCACGGGCTCCCCCCGCGGCCAGAAGCTAAGCCCCCGCGACGCGCACACGTGTCCGCTGCTCCTACTTTGCACGGTTCGACGACGACCCCGCAGGGACTGACTCTGAACCACTGAGAGGGAGGTTAAGGCCGTCCACCGTGACGAGCCTTGGGGCGGTTTATGCCTCATTAGGAGGGCAGGAGGGCAGTGTCGTGCTCGAGTCCCGTTTGTGGGCTCGCCGCGGGGGGAGCGGGCAAACGGTGCTGGACGGGGGGGGGCGGTGTCACTTCGGGCGCTCATTCTGCTGCACCTGGAATCCTGCAACCCCCCTGAGCAGACTTCTGAACCTGCTCCAGACCAGCAGCAGCACCACCTGCTGCTCTTCCCCCCCCCCCCACAAATGCTTGCCAGCTCATCCTACCATCTCCACTGGAATCGTCAAGCAGAAAGGTCCAGGAGCTCTTGCCAAGTACCTGCTGCCCTCTTCAAGGATTTCTCTCTGCGACCAGCAAATCGGTTTTCCACAGGCCTGGAAAAACAAGATGGTTCCCACTGCTCACTCCACTCGGAGCCCAGCTGCTGGATGTTGGAGCGTGAACTTGGGAGCGGTTGCTGCGAGCAACATAAACTTTAGACTAACTCGACTGTGCCAAGCCAAGAAAAGCAAAGAAAAAAGGCCTCGTTTTTTCCGTATAAACAACACTGCCGGGGCTGAAGCGGTGAGCGAGAGGACAACCCCACGCAGGGCCGCTGTAGCCACAGGCTGCATTCGGGCCACCGTACAGCTGCGCTCGAAGGCAAAGCCGCCGCTGGCGTCTGCAGGCTTCTGAAGCAGGCGGCTCCACAGGGACCTTCTGAAGGAAGAGCCTCTGGCACAAGCCTCTCCTGAAAGCACCGGGCAGCTTTCACCCAACTGGGGCAGTCCAGGGATTGTGAACTCCACTCCACCCCCCCCCCGCGGAACTGGCTACAGCTGATGGGAATTAAATCTGAAACACCTGGAGGGCACCAGATCGGGAAGGCTAACGCCCCCCCACCCCATGGCCGCATCTGCAAAAAGTGGCTTTCTGAGATTCTGTTTGTTCTCGCTGGAGGTTTCTCTCTCTCTCCCTGAGCGAGGTTTCTCTCGCGCAAAAGGTTCTTTGCGGTGTTTGTGCTAATGTCTTTATTCCAGAACATCTCTCAATAAACTTTGGAGCTGTCGGAGGCTTTTTCTGCAGTCGAATGCACGTCTGCTCAAGAGTGGCTTTGGCTTAGTTCAGCAGAGCTTCGTCTTAGCTCAGTGTGCAGGAATGGCAGCCTTCAGCTCTCGCGTTGGCCGTTAGTCTCAAAGCTTTATTGCCGATTTTTCTGCACGTAAAGACATATATTCTCGATACAGTTATTTGATTTTTAAACATACCTGGTTTGTTTTATACCCCTGGGCACCATTTTTATGCTTAGCCACTTTCTGATATCTCCATTTGTAGGGAGACAAGCAACTCATACCTTTTAAATAAAGATAGGGTCATACATCCCTTGTATGAGGAGTCCCGGTTTATTACAAATGTTTTTTAAAAATTAAATATTTAAAGCTATTCAGTTTCTTCCTCCTGCTTCATCATCCCAAGGATCTCCTGAAAACATACCACCAGGCTCGGCTTGGAATATCTTTTACTTTGCACAGAGATGTCTTTTGGAAATGAAAGGTTGAGAAAACACGTGGCACGGGCTCTCCGAAAGTGTTCCACGGCACTCCAAGTGGGAGACCTGCTTTTAAATGGGACAAAGGTCGCCTTCCAATCCCAAAACAGCCAACTGGCTCGAACAACATGTCCTCCCCCAAATGTCACGGAATGCAAAGTAGCTGTACGATTTTGCATCGATGCTGCATCAACCGTTGGCAAAGGGATCTAATTATACGGAAGACTCCCCTCAAATTATAAGCCTCCCAAGATGAATAAGTGAGCAATCGCTCCTTATCTGTCAAGACCAATATATTCTAAGCCAAAAATGCATCTAAAAAAATGGAGAAAAGCATGAGCGTTGCCCCATCACCCCACTTAATAGGGCTGCATTGCCACGGTCTTTATGTAACGCCATTTTATTCATCTGTGCAAATACACTCGATGGAGGGAATGTGGAAATCAGTGCCTTTAATAATCCGTCTCTGCCACACGCTCCTGCGTAAAAGCCTCCATCTTGGATTCCTGCAGTCTAACCCTAGACAAACTTACACAGGAGTAAATCCAACTTGCTTTAAAGGGGATATACTTCTAAGAAAGAATTGAGCCCACAGTGGCAGTCTCAGGTTTCCTGCAGGAGGGGTTGTCTGAACCTGAGAGCCTGCTTCAGATGCTTGCACAGAGCTAGACGAGGAAACGGCTGGTGTCTATTGAAAAGACATGGTAAGAATCAAAGAAAATGGGGTCCTTCTAAGAGAAAGTGATATGCTGCTGAAGACGCTGGAGCATGCCATCAAAACGTGGCAATGACGTCCCGGCTTTTATCAGCATCAATTTGCCCCAGAGAGAATTGTTCCAACTGTCGTGACGGATGCTACATGGCTCTCCACTTCTTGCCTACAACTCCCATCAGCCCTAGCCAGCACAGCCCATGATGGATTGTTTGTTCAAAATATTTCTATGCCACCTGTTGCATCACGGCATCTAGGCCAAAAAATCTGGAGGGCCAAAAGCCAGTTTCCCCCTCCAGAATCACCTCTTGTGTTGCTGTGATGCAGATGATACACACATAAATGATACACAAATAATTTATATAATTTACATAATTTAAGATGATACACACATAAATGATACACACAGTCACACTGGCCCAATTTTTAAAAAAATCATTTACCATAATACAAATGTTTATTAAGATCATCCAAACATGCAAGACTTGGCAAGTTTTTTAGTTCCCCAGAATGATTCCCAGTCAGGATGCGAAAGAAAACAGGTGTGTGTGTTTGAGGGGCAGATTCCAGAGAGGAAAAAATGTGAGAAAGGGAAGGTTCTGGCTCTGGTCAAATTGTTCTTTTCCTTTCTAGACTTTAGAAAAGAAGAAAGCAAAGCCAACCAGAGGCACAGAAATGATGTGTTTATTTTTGAAGTTGCTTTGAAGCTTTATTTTACGTTTGGATGGAAAGTCTTGTAGTTACTTGCCCAGTGCAACATCATCGCTGATGAAAACAAGGTGACTAATGCAGTCGGCCTCCCGTTTCATCCTCACAACAACCCTGTGAAGTAGGCCAGCCTGAGTGTCAGGGACTCAAAGGCACCCAAATTAAGACTGCAATTCTACGGGCACATTCCTGGGAGTAGGCCCCACTGAAGGCGGTGAGGGTTACTTATGAGTAATGGCTCATACAAACGTAGCACTTTTGAACAGAAAAAGTTCTTAGGTGGCTTTTGATTTATTGGTTCAATACACACGTTATTCACCCACCACTAAAACTCCCCATTTTTGCCTGTATATTAATTCTATCTGTGTAACTTGTGCTCCAGTTCAAACCAGCCAATTACCAGTCACTATGTAAGCGAAAAAGCGAGTCCAAAGAGAGGGCAGGGGTGTCTCTTTAGCTCTGCAAACTCTGATGGAAATTGTAGATAGCACGCTCTGTAAACGGGGGGTCAAGAGCATCAGCAGCACAAATTAAACCCACCAGCAAGCCCAAAAGCAAACCAAGCCATCGACTACCCAAATTTGCTCCAGGTGACACGGGTGAGTCTCTCCCTGAATACGCCTGGTGCCCACGCCGTAGGCTGAGTGGGGAAGCTGGAAACTGGAGCCCATCGTAACTGGGAGGCTCCAGCTGGGAAAGGTCAAGGGATGGTTACAGAAGGATCCACCAGAATGCTCTTAAGGCTGCGTCAAAACGGAAAGCCTGGTTGGGGGCTGGGGGGGGGGGCAGGATCTAGAAAGCTGCTACAACAGCAGACTGAACCTACCTTCACCGGCATCTTCTGTGTTTTCCCTTGGAGAGAGCAAGAGGAGCCGTCACAACCAGGACAGCTGACCCGAGGAGGAGGAGGAGGAGGAGGAGGAGGAGGAGCACGCTGCCAGCTGCCATCGAAGCGCTGTTCCAGAAGGGGCAGTGGGTCAGCTGACGGCTGCTGCCCTCCCGTCCACACGTGCAGAAGCCCCTCCCGCTCAGCCAAGGGGCTGCCGTGGAAATGCATCGCCCAAAGCCTCGGGTACCGCGCGGCCCAGCCCACGGCCAAGCGGGGGCTCTCGGGTGCCGCAGCACCTCGTCCCTCCCCTCCCCTCGGCGTATGCGGCTTTCTCCTCAGCCTCTTTCCCTGCTTCTGGCAACAAGGGCAGCTTCAAGCTGAAGGCCTATCGAGGAGTGATGGCTGGGGGGAGAATAAAGACCATCACCTCTGCCCCCCTTCTGGCCAAGGTGCAGCTCGCCAAGCACAGCATCCCCCCTCCTAAAATAAGGAAATCGGAGGCCGGGAGGGCTTCATTCACGGCATGGATGAGGGGCTGAAGCCCCTCGAGATGTTTTGCTCTGCAACTCCCGTTAGCCACAAGCGCAGAGCTGGTGTGGGGGATGCTGGGAGCTGTGGGCCAAGGCCCTGCGGAGTGGCAGCTGCTGCGTGAATACAGCTCCCCTGTGAGGGCTGGGCTGATGTGAGGAAGCTGCCGGAGCCAGTCCGGGCTTCCTCCGCTTTGCCCAAGCAGGGGGCATTGCAACCCCCGCCTTGCCCGGGCCGTTGCTCCCGGCTGCACCTCAAAAGCCTTCCTGGGTAATGCAGCACCTGAATGTCAAGCGCAGACCTGGGATCGAACCCCACAGCACAAGCGTGGCCCGGGCTCGTTCCGACGAAGGGGCCCCACACCGCCCAGCAGGGCTCCTCCAGCTCCACCGGCTGCGGACCCTGCGAGCGGTGGGACTTCTGTCTCGGCACGCACGGGACTGCGCCCGAGCTGGAGTGGAGCAACGGGGAGGCTGCCCTCCGAGGAACATCGCAGGCATCCCGCGGCGTCAGTCCCCGCGCTGCTCTGCACAGTCACCCTTGCTCTGCCCTCCCCTCCCTCGCAGGGTTGTTGTGGGATAGAGTGGAGGTGGAACACAATGTGTTTCTTTCCAAGTAGGGCAAAGGATACGAACATGGTTTGATAAATACGCCTGAGGGGCCTCGTTGCAGCCGCAGTTATTCTGGGATGACTCGAGCGCTGGAGGAATTTGGCACATGCGCTTGCTTTCCCTCCCCGCTGTTCCGTAAACAGGCACATTCCGGCTTTCTCTAACCGGGGGTACCAGTGGGCCTGGACAGGGCTGCCCCCAGGCCTGCCTCCTTCAGCAAGGCAGTGGCATCGCCCCCGACCTTGGCAGGAACAACTCAAGGGCACCGGCATCAGGGCAGCTGCCTGCCTGCGAGACGGAGGGGCTGTTCTCGCCACACTGCAATCCAGGAAATGAGCGCTCAGGCATTCCTGGCCAGTCTATTTAGAATTGCACTCCTCCGAGTTCGAGGTTGTTTACTCCCAAGTAAATGGGTAGAGCAATGCAGTCTCAAGGACGTCTGCACGCCAGTTTCTGAAAGACCGGGGTTGAGCATATGCAAAACTTTCCTCTTCAAATTCCGGCACTTCAACATGCATAATGAGGACTGGATCATTCTTTTGAGTAGCAAGCGATCGTTCTTGTTCCTCAAGAGCTGGGGGTTGGCGGGAAACCGTCAATACCTAGAGGTGGCTCATTCTTAGATTTAAATATGGGTAGAGTTAGAAATTCAAGTGTACACACAGCTCCTCACCAGCCAGCCCCACGAGAGGCACTGCGACTTGTTCCCAGGTAGGTCCGTGTGGGACAGTCAACAATCTACACGGCCTTCAACCTTGGACCCTTCACTTTCTATTAAATGAGATTTCCTGTTAATACTATACCAACATTTATTTTAGAAGTGTATATACGAACCATGTACTGTCCTCAAAACCATCTACATACTGAAAATCATAAAGCACAGCACACGCACTGACCCCACCCATGGCTTCTATCATCCAGACAAAGCAGTAAAAAGCCATGGGGATCAAACAGTTCCATTGAAAACCTTGCCATACAATTCAGATCAAGGAGAAGCAATGGAGCGCAAGAAAAATATACAGCAAGGGGACCAGGTGCGCTTTGCAGGGGAAGCTCCTTGAAGATGGACCCGTCCCCAAGGCAGCTTGACTCACGGGCAGCGCTCATGCAGACTTGCCTCCCCAAAGCTGGCCACCTCCATGATTTGGATGTCTGACCTAACCAGCAGAGCTTATGGCTGAGAACGCGGGGAGCCCACAGCATCTGGAGGGAGCTGGGCTGAGCGGGACAAAGGGCTGAAACGGTTATGGAGGAAAAATCGGAGGAGCCTGGAATCGCTTCTACAACAGAAATGGACAGAGACAAAATATATAGCCTATTTAAGCTGCAGCACACACAAGGTAGGTTTTGAATACGCAGGTCCTGGGCATAGCTCGTTGTGTTGTCTGAATCTGAGGGCCATGGGTTATGTGAGGGCTGAACAGCCCTTGCGTAATCCTTGGACTGTTAGATAAACCACAGTGGGCTCTTTGACCATGCACACTGTTCCATGAAAGAGCAGCTAGATGACCAACAAGAAATGCAAAGAAAAGGGGGGCAACTCCAGAACTATATCAAAGTTTTTTATTTAAAAAAAAAAAACCTTGAACAGTAAGTATAAAAAACATTGCACTAGTGTTACAGGTACAAAGAAAAATAAGCAGTAATTTCAGTAAATATACTAGTCCAGATGATCTTATTATGCCATCCACATAGAAAAGTAAACCAAACTTTCTTCTAAAAGAAATCAATACAGCTCAGTAACACTCCATGTCTAATACCCGTAACAAAACATTTCACCATCAACTGTAGTGGACCAGACACACCGTAGAGCAATACAACCACTGACTGATCGCCTGATGTGATGGAGTAAGTCATCCACGCCCCACATTTGGAAGGGGTTGTGGGGGGGGGCAGAATATTACATGAGCCTGTTCACCCAGTGGGCAGAAGGTATTAACTGTCAGCTTCCCAACTAACACATTTTCAAGCAACCGCCTCGCTGACAGATGGCTGCACAATTTTACTTGAAATTGTGCATCCCGTGAAGGCTTCCAAGTCTCATAGTCAGTATCATTTTGGGATGGTGACGTAGGGAGAACAGCTGGCTGAGTGACTGACGCTAGTGCTGAAGATCACAGGTCTGGTGTAGAAGGGAGAATTTCCCGACAGCAGCTCCCATAAAATCCCACATGTTCAAAACGCAAGACCCACACAGTACTAAATTCCTCCAGAATTAAACATCTGAGTGTGAAAACTCAGCAGCTGATGCAACTTTTACACTACAACTAATGAAACAACATGCTTGAAAGAATGAACAAGACATCGCTCTGGCTATCAGAAACAACTTTGCTAAGTAGATACCCTTTGAGTCGGGCCAAATGAAAAGTAGCTTCTTTGCTGTCAGAAATAAGAAGGTGCTAGTAGAACACACACAAAAACAAATGCCTCTATTACAGAAATGAAGAACTCAGTGGAACGCCTCCTTGATACTGGTTTGAAAACTAAAAAAGGCTCATTAAGAATCACATCCTTGAAGGGAAATCCAAATAATATTTCCAAGCGTTTAGACTCTCCCAGCCACAGAGACGACACAATTTGTTCCCAGCTCTGGTCCTGAGGCTGCTGCAAACCATTCACAGGGCATTCCAATCAATGGGCGTCTTCCCTGACTTTTTCAGCAATTCATTCGTTCTGGAGAAATGCCTACAGCCAAAGAAGCCCCTGTGCACAGAGAGGGGCGAAGGGTGGACCGTCTGCAGGACGTGGTGGCGTTTCTGCAAGATATTGGAAGAAATGAAGACCTCACAGGCACTCCCGCGAGATGAACTATCACTGTTTGCAAAGAACCAAAGCTTCCTATGTGCAGAAACGGACATGAACCACACACACTTACAAGCCAGAACTAGACTCCTTCTGAAGTCCTGATTGTGCCAGCAGCTCTACAGGTGGAAACTTAATAACTCTAAGAATGAAACCCTCCAGGCCTTTCGGGAAAATGCGCCCTCCAGGCCAATCCGCACGGTCAACACTTGGGCATTCTGGGAATCGCAGTCTAAAGTTCAGTAGAACACGGAATTGCAGACCCTGCCTAAGGCTCCCCGTGCATTTACACAAGGAAGGAGTGGCTAAATTCGCGGGCAGGTGCACGTGGCCCCAGCTGAAAGGGAGCCATCTCAAGGCAAATCCCATCTGCACCCGAGGCCTTGAGGACCACCCTGCTGCATGCCCCCCACCCCCAGGCAACTGCTCCGCACAGCATCCGGCCGGGAAGGCCTCACGCCGGACACAGCGGCCCTGCCAGCCCGTGGAGCAAGGCCCAAGTAGCGCCGCAGCTCCCACGTCCTTTCTGGACACGGCACTCCCAGGATGCTCAGCTCCGGGCTGTGCCTCCAGGTGGCGCACTTACCCTGTCGATGCAGCTGCCCTTCTTCTGCGCATAGGCTCCCCAGAGCATGAAGACCAGGCCGTCCAAATTGCTGTTCAGCCAGCCCACCACCGCGTCCGTGAACTCCTCCCAGCCCCTCTCCTTGTGGGAATTGGCCTTGTAGCCTCGGACGGTGAGGACGGCATTGAGCAACAGCACTCCTGGAGGGGGGGGGAGAGAAGGATGAGCACGGAGGCAGGGAAGGCCAAAACGGCAGCACGCATCTTTCACTCATGCCCAGGGCTGACTGTCCACTTCGATACAGCAGAGATGTAGACCCAGAGAAGGCGGCCTGGGCAACTCCCATAATGCCAGGAAGGGGAACCCACGCCCACCGCATCCCCCCCCCCCCAAAAGCACAAGTTCTCTTTTCAAACACCCTTTAGAAGCTCGGTGTTTGGGAGCTTCTGCCTGAAGAGGCTTTCGGCCGACTGAGTGCCGCTTCTCTGCAGCACTGGTTTCTTTAAAAATGTGTTTGTTTCGGCTGTACTTTAAGCCCGATTTATTCTTGATGTTTGTTGTTAGCTGCCTGGAGCACCATTTTCACAGAAAAGTAAACAATAAACTTGATAATAATAATACATCTCTCCAGCTGCTTCTGCAAATATTTCCAGTCGAAAACAAAAGGAAAACAAATCTTGGATTCACCTTGTTTTGCCCAGCCAGTCAGGTCTCCATGGCCAGGATGAGTAAAGCCTTCTATGTCTGTAGAAAGTTCTTTGAAAATGTTATCCAAGCTACAAACAAAATGAGAAAGATGTTGCCAGAATTCTTTCTAGGTCATTGAAACACTGCGTCTGCACAGATCGCACACCCAAGCAGATAACGATGTCGCTAACAGTCAAGGAAAACCAGCCAAATAGCAACATAATCCTAACGCAAGGAGAGTTCAGAGGCCGCTCTCACCTGGGTGGGGGGTGCATTGGTCTGTGGACACTGAAGCAGAGTCCGTGGGCTTGACCGGGTCCGTGATACGGGTCTTGGCCCAAGATGACAACTTTTACCTGAAGAAAGATTGAGGCCTTCTCTCAAATTATGGTAAGATTGCAATTAAACAAATGCCTACCTAATAAGTAAAAGCAAATAAGAGCCAGCGTGCACCATGAGTGACTTCCACCGTCAGCCAATTCTCACAATGCTTCTTTAGGACAGGGCTGGAGTCTCCCACAACCCAGAGAAAACTGAGGGGGGAATAACTAACTAGCTAACCACACAGAGCTCATGCAGGAGCAGTTCAGATTTCAGTTCCCCCCAAGGTGGCTTTAGCCAAGTCCTGTCCCCTGCCCTCCAGCCTGCATCGCGTGGCCGTAATGAATGCAGTGAGAGGACCCACTGGGCAATGAATGCCAACATCTAAGTTATTCCATTGGTGAGGAAGAACAAAAGCGAGCAAACTGCCTCGGGCATGCTGCCCATTTCCACTCTCAGCAAAAACCTAGAACTGCCTGTTTGGAGCTGGAGGAGGAGAAGTCACACCCACCTGCGAATTCCCAAGGCAACACGGGACTTGAACCCCCCCAGGAGTGGCTGCTACATGCAAGCCAGCCCAGTCTGTATGGAACACGCTGGAGAGTAAAAGCAAAGTACAACTACCAGATGCAACAATACCCCAGCATTTGCAGAACAAGAGCGGCAAGATGTTGGACACCCCTTGGCTGCATGGACAGGAGGTGGGACTGAAGAGCCCCGGAGGCCCCACTGCATCTGCGAGTCCCTGCCTAGCAAAGGTTCAGCAGAACAAAGCAGAGAAACTGTTGCTGGCAGTTTAGCTGCTCCTGAAGGAAATAAACCATCAACGCGGGTTCAGTTAGGACTGGATGTACCAGGTTGACTCACATCACGGATGTCACACATCTGAGTCCAGGTGTAGACTTGATGAGCAGGTGGATATATTGTATAGTGTTTGCGCTCCTGAGCGAGGAAAGACATAAGCTGGGGGGGGGGGGTGGAGAGAAAAATATATGTTAACGGGGCAGAGGAAGACAAGCGCACTGATCAGAGACTAGGAGTAATATCCATGTCTGCTTTCCCAAGCACAAGGCAAGCCCAGAGCGCAGGGATAGTCCCCTGCTCCCACCCCCCTTTACAAAAGGCTGAAATATCTTCATTAAAGCTTAGCTATTTACAGTAAGAGCTCTCTAAGTTACAACAGAGGTGTAATATTTGGCTCCAAGCCCTTTGGCTTCAGTCCCACCTGCCACTGAAAAAGACCCCCTTTCCCACCCTGGAAAGCTTCTCCAAGGTGATATTTGGCCTTTGGAAAAAAAGATGTTCTGCATTCTAGCCATAGATTTGGGTAGCAAGTTTAATATAGGAAGCCAACAACTGAGCTATTTCAATAAGAACACATTATAAAATGGAAGACCTAACAAAAGGAGAAGGGAAGATGAGAGGCTGTTTCATGCCCAGACCTACCTGTCTGAGTAAATGGCAGAAGGGCCAGTCATCAGCTATCCAGTCTGATATAAGCTATCTCGCTGAAAGATTTTGGGGGCATGTTTGCGTAGTAAAGGGCCCTGCAGCCTCCAGCATCCCTGGCTAGGGAATGGTGGGAGTTGCAGGGTTCTTTTCTGTAGAAACAGGCTGCCAATTGTGTCATTATAACAGAGAAATGCTTTAATTTAAGGCAATGTACAGGAAGCGGGGCAGCAGAAGTATTAAGTCCCGGGCCTTTAGGAAGCCTATAGAAAAAGCGTCTGCTTCGCCCCACCTGGATGAAATAGGGCTTCGAGAACTCAGGCGCCAGCACCGCTTTCCAGGACTCCGCTATCTCCGCAGGCACGACGACCTTGGCGCGGGCGCCGAGCTTCCGCAGCGCCTCCTCCTTGTTCCTGCGGATCCGGTCCAGCTGCTCCGGGCTGAGAGGCGGGAATCGCGGAGGAATGGAGACATCGTCGATCTTCAGCGCCTTGCGGGCCTGGGAAAGAGGCGGCACCCGGGTGAGGAGCGGGCGGAGGGAGGGCGAGCGCGCCAGGCCCCGCAGGACCCGCATCCCGGCACAGCCCCGCCCGGGCCGCCGCCGCCGCCGCCGCGCTCCACGTGCGCGCTCCGCGGGACGCAGACACGGGCCCGCCGACGGCGGCGGCGCCCGGCCTTTCCGATTGGCCGGCGCCCGCCCCTGGCCCGCCCCTCCTGCGCCTCATTGGCCCGCCCCTCCTGCGCCTCATTGGCCCGCGACGCCCCATTCAGGTTTTCCCGCGAGTCGCACCCCGCACCAGCTGGTCAAGAATGCGCGGCCGCTATTAGTCGGCGCGGGTCACGGGGCTTCCTGGGCACGCCTCCCCGCACTTTCTATTGGTCGGGGCGCACAGAGGGACGCTTCTCATTGGCCGGTACCTCAGGCGGGCGCCTTTTTCTCACCCGCGTAAATTTGGAAGCTGGAAAAAACTTCCAATTGTTCCCCATGGATTCAGTGGACTGGCAATTTCTCCCCCCACACCCGTTCCCACTGCCGAGCGCTGCTAGTAACAGCAGCGAAAGCAACAACAAAACAACAAAATAAATACCCCTTCAGTCTCCTCCGGTTCCGAAGAGCGACAGCGCTTTCTATCCGAATCCGGCGTAAAATATGAAAACAGCGACTTCTGTCCGATCATGTTGGCTCCGCTGACAGGGAAGGCCCGGCGCTGCAGGTCTGAAGAGATGAAAGAGCCAAGGACGCGCCCGAGCGAGCCTTAAAAAGCCCAAATTTAGCGCCAAACCGAGTGCGCATGCGTACTAGGGAAAGGGGCGGTACCGTTTGCTTAGTCTGCGCACGCGCACTGTTTCTACTGGTGCTCTACCGACCGGGCTGCCCGGGGGGGGGGAGGAGGAGGAGGAGGATTCGGCGCGTGCGCATTCTTGCTCGTGAAGCCCAAGCGAGCCGCTCTACGGGCAGGGCGCGGCGCGTGCGTACCACGGTCCCCGCTTTCCCCTCGCTTTAATTCCCCCTTATTTCGTAGGGAGTTCATTGGGAGGCCACTCCAGGCTCCCAAGAGCTCATGTGCTATTTCTCGGTAGGCAGAACCCCCTCAGGAAGGTGCCTGCAGCGGGGGCATTCAGACGCGGCAAAGACGCGTTGCAGGGTCGTGTGAGCGGGACGCGGGCGTTCACGCAACGTGCCGTTCGTCCCCCGGCTCTGCTCTCGCTGCACCGCCGGGAGAGGAGCCGCCGCTGCCGCCGCCGAAGGGGCTCCTGGTCCCCGCCGCGGGGAATCGCGGCCCCTTCGCTTCGGGAGGGCGAGGCGCTGGGGGGGCAGCGGGGCCAGGGCCCTCCCCGCACGTGTCCCGCGTTGCAGCCGGGCAGGTGGGCCTGGCGGCTCTGCGGCTCCCGTCGGCGCGTGCTGGCTGGGAGCGATGGGCCTTGCAGTCCGGGCTCGGGTGGAGGGAAGCTGCAGCCAGGGCTTTCCCTGGCAGACCCCTTTAGCCAAGGTCTCGGTCAGAATCTCCTCCTGAACATGTCTCCGTCCCCTAAAGCTCACTGCCACCGTCTGTGCCCTAGGGCTGGGGAGACACTCGGGCCCGCGCCCCCCAGGACCCACATCCGGCACCGCACCGGCTCTCTGGCTCGCCCCGGGTCCGCTCTGCCAAGTGGCACGGCGGGCGGGCGCAGGGTGCAGAGCAGTGGCGCCCACGGAAACCCACGCCTCCTGCGAGCGCGCGAGCCGGCCGGGCCCCGTGCGCCCCCCGCGCAGGGCGAACGGCCCCATAGCCATGCCGGCCAGCGTGCGACTCGCAGGCCTGTTTCCCTCTCCCTGAAATCCAGGCGTGCGGCACCTTGCGATGGACAGATTCCTGCTCAGAGGGCCTCTGACGAGCACCGCAGGACAGGCCAAGCGGGCATCCCCTGGGCGAGAGGAAGACGATGCCAGCCCCGTGGAGGAGGACGGCGGTGGGACGGCGGCGAAGCGGCCCAGGCGGGACACGGCTTCCCGGGATGAGCGCATCTCGAGCCACGCGCGCTGGAGGCACATCCAGGCCCAGGGGCTCAGCTGTGACTACAAGATCCTCTTCGGCAAAGCCGAGGCTGACGCCATCTTTCAAGAGCTTGAAAAGGAAGTTGAATATTTTGAAGGTGAGTGGTGTGGGGAGAGAGGCCTCTTTCCTACATTTTATTTTTATTTATTTAAAACGTTTTAGGCCACCCCATACTGAAGTCTCAGGGTGGTTTAACAGTAAGACAAAAATAAAATAAAATGCAGCATCTGAATCAAATTCTGGCAATAAAACCCATATTAAAATAACAGTCAAACTTAACATGTTGGGAAAAGAAAACGGTTTTAGCCTGGCGCCAAACAGAATGAAGCGACAATTGCATGGCTTTCTGAAGCACACGTGGAGAAGAAATGTGGTTGTTTTGATGGTTTATCCAAATGGGCATAGCAGTCAGGCCCACGAGTTGCCTCGGAGTGCCAGGGGCTGGGAGGCTGACGCCACAGAAGGGACGGGGGCTGCATCCATGCCCTGCTCATGGGCTTCCCAGACGCATCTGGTGGGTGGTGAGGAGCAGGAGTGGGAAGCGTGTGTCCCCCCGGCCCCCCGCCCGCAACATGCAGCCCTGCTCTGCGCAAACCGGTTTCCCCCACAAAAAGCCATCCCAGCACAGCGGAGGTTCAGCGTGGCTTGCACACAAACCGCACTAGCAAACTGGCCGTTCTTAATTGCCATCTTGGAGCAGGGGCTGGAAAGCCACGGTGTAAACAAAACGCTGCACCAGCGAGCCTGGGGCCGGATCCCGAGTCGGGGCTGCTCTGGCGCGTTGCATTTTGTTCTTGGACACTGTGGAACCTGCCCAGACAACACCTGGGAAGAAAAATGCATTTGCGCTTCTTTTCAAAACAGGGGCACTCACCAAGCTGCACATCTTTGGGAAGTGGCACAGCATCCCACGGAAGCAGGTGACCTACGGCGATGCTGGGCTGACCTACACGTACTCGGGCGTCACCTTCTCCCCCAAGCCGTGGATTCCGGTTCTGGACCGTATCAGGGACCGCCTCCACCTGGACACTGGTCACAGCTTCAATTTTGTTCTGATTAACAGGTAACACGCACAGCCGGCAATGAGGCCGGGTGCGCTGCGCCAGCTTTGCACACGCGATCTCCCGCGCTAATCGCCCGTCCGGTTTTGCGATGCCCGAGGTGCCGAGCTGAGGGGCTTTGCCTCGGTCGTGGCACTGAGGCGGCCCTGGGTGAGCCAGCGGGAGCTTCCCGAGCAGGCCTGCGGCAAATCTTTCCGCTCTCGTGCCGAACTCCGCTTTGGAGAGGCTTTTGGAGCCGAAAGCAACAGGGGTGGGGCAAATTTTGACATCCTCCTGTGAAGCTCCCAAGTCTTAGGAAATGTGGGGGAGAGCAACCCGCTGCTTCCCCCAGAAGCAGTTCCCTCGTGCCCAGGCAGTGTGGCCGGGGGCCCAAGGACCTGTGGGCCTGACAATCTCTGGAGGGCACCGGCGTGGGGAGGGCGGCTGTGCCACGCGAGGCGGGAGAACAGCCACGGAGCCTTCCGCTCGCTTCGCAGGTACAAGGACGGGCGGGATCACATCGGGGAGCATCGCGACGACGAGCGCGAGCTGGTCCCTGGCAGCCCCATTGCCTCCGTGTCCTTTGGCGCCAGCAGAGACTTCATCTTCCGGCATTGCGCTTCCCGAGGCAAGGCGCCCTCGTGCCGGATCGAGCCCGTCAGGCTGCTGCTGGAGCACGGCAGCCTGCTCCTGATGAACTTCCCCACCAACCGGTACTGGACCCACAGCCTGCCCAGCCGGAAGAAGGTGCTGGCCCCGCGAATCAACCTGACGTTTCGGAAGGTGCAGGCGCTCTAAGGGGGGCCGTGGGCCATGGAGGTGTCTCTTGAGAAACAGAGTGTGGAGCCCGAATATCTTTGGATAATAAAGAGATTCCACAGACGGGCATTGTGGACGGGTGTTTGCTCTTGACCGTCGGAATGGCCGTCCTGCACAGGGCCATCTTCCCCCTCCTGGCCGGGCCCACTGGTGGTCGTAGCCCAACACGCCTGAGGACTCCGGGGGCCGTGCTCCTGTTGTGACACCTTCCTGTCAGCAGGTGAGCCGACAGGAAGCCTGAGGACGCAGCTCCTTGGAAACAAATCTTGCCCCGCTTCCATTCAGGGCGGGTGTTTCTTTCGCACCGTATAAAATGCTTCGGTTGCTGCAGAGCCGCCCAGGAAAGGGGGTGGATGCCAAGCTGGAAGAAGGGGGCAGAGGCAGGCGGTCCCTTTCGATGCTGAGTTCTCTTGGCTGGTCTGCCTAACGCCCGGGTGGTTACAGCCACAGCCCTGGGAGCAACTTCTTTTGCTTAGCTGCTGCAGGGGAAAGATCCACTCGTGTAGACAAAAGTGGGGTCTCTTGCACACATGCGCGCATACACACACACACACACACAGAAAACAAGCAGCATGTGTAGTCATCTGGTGTGTATTAATCACATACAAAAGGCTTGAAGAGTTAAAACCAGCGTGACACAGAGGGTTTGTGGGGAGGGACGGGGGGTCAAGACACCAAAACACAGGAAAGGCTCTTGCTTCCCTGCTGAACTGTGTCCTTCGAGGGAACCCGGCCTCATAAATCTGTTGCGCTTCAAGCCGGTCGTTAACGCATTGCTCTGGGTGGGAAGAAACTGGCCGTTTTCCATGTGGAATATGCTTACATGCCCCCCCCCACACACACAGCCTTGTCTACATGCTCAGCCCACCCCACTCTTGGGACAGCAGCTATTCCGTGGATTTGACGGAAGCCATTCAAGGCACATCCTGCCTGTCTTAACTCTTCATTCAATACTGCAGAAGAAATTTGAGATGGCTCACTTGGCTGAACTGGTAAAAAAGTGGGTTTTTGAAAGGTAGACAAGGAGTTCCACGACAACACATGAAAAGGATTTTTAAAAATCAGAAGTGGGTCCCTAAGGGCTGGCGATCCGACAAGCGTTCCTCTCTCGCGGGCAGACCCGGGGCAGTGCGCAGTCAGCTTTGGGCAGTGTCATCTGGTACAGGCTGTCCTCTCCTGCCGGGGGCGACGGGGGAGCTCGCCGTGAGTCAGTGCGGGCGGGGGGCCACCGTCCTCGGAGGGGCGCCTCTGCCGGGCTGCCACACGCCCGGACGCTGCGGTCACTCCTCCGCTTGGGGCGCCTGGTCCCGGTGCTGCAGCCTGGAGCGGACGCGCTCGTAGAAGAGCAGGTAGGCGCTGGACGACAGGACCTCCTGCAGGGTGGCCTTGCGCACCACGTCGTCGGACGTCCACAGCCACTGGCTGCTGGCAGCCCGGGGGCTCTTGGGAGCGGGGGGGGAGCGGCGGTACGTCACGAAGTGTCCCGAGCGCATGTCTCCGTGGTGGACCACCACCGCCATGAGGCAGTAGAGGTAGGCGGGGGAGCTGCCGAAGGAAGGGGAGGGAGCGGCTGATGCCACGGCAGCGGCTCTGCCCTGGGCTGGGCTGGGCTGCCCCAGGCGAGGTGGTCCAGAGGGGGGCGGGTCCGTGGGCTGGACCAGGCCTGCCTCCGGATGCAAGCTCGCCCCGCTGCTCATGCCCCGTCCCACAGCCGCAGTCGCCTGGCCTGGGGTGGAGAGGCCAGACGACGGCCAGGATGACCCGACGGTGGAGGGAACGGGCAGGTGGAGTTGGCCCTGCACCCACGTTTTTGCCCTCCGGGGAGGCCGAGCGACAGTTTCGGGCACGGCGACGCACCTGCAGTCAGGGCTGCCAAGGAACGGGAAGGCAATGGGGGAGGCCAGCAGCGCAGAGGAGCAGGTGCCGTTCATCAGGGAGGGCTTATGGCCGCCCGGCCGCTCGCCACCTGCAGACACACACGCACAGAGCACGGTGTGAGCCAGACGGAGGGCACACTGCGGTCCCTGTGAGGCGCGCTTTCCTCAGAGCCCCGGAGGGCAGTTTGCCAAGAGGCCCTTGTGGGGGATCCTGGACGGGGTCCGCACAATCAGCGAAGGGAGAGAAGGCACGGGGCCCCCTCCCTGGCTCACGTGCTGTGCGTGCGCTGCAGAACGCCCCTAATCTGTGGGGCACACCTGGGGCCCGCTTATGGTGGCTTCCTCCGGGCCGGGGATCTCATAGCAGGGTTCGGCTTCCAGCCTTCCCTCGGGAAAGGAGGGGCGGAGCAGTGGCCGGCCGGCCGAGCGTCCCCCCCACTCCCTCCCCGCCGAGGGCGAAACGACGCGGGTGCCGTGCCATACCGTCCTTGTGCGCAGAGAAGCGGTGCCTGTAGAGGTCCATGGCCAGGAGCTCTCCAAACTGGACGTGCTCGTTGCGCTTCAGCGGCGCCCCGTGCTGCGACCAGCTCAGCCGTTGCAGGTGGATGCAGAGGCACTGTGGGAGCTGCAGAGCCAGGCGAGGCCGGACTGAGGACGCGCCGGGCCTGGGCCACGGGGCTGCTCCGCGGAGCGGGCGACTCGTGGCCATGCAGCGACCCCTCGGGGGGGGGGCAGCTCCCGCCAGCCTCGCCCGCGGTGGCGAGGCACCAAATGGCCACTTCCCGCCCCCGCCCGACAGTTCTCTTCTAAAAAGCAGGCGGAGGCCTCGAACGTGCCTCCCAGGCCGAAGGACGTCAGCCTGCAAATCCCCCCCTCCACATTTTAATTTCCCTTCTCTCAGAATAAACACCGCCCAAAGGAAAGCAGCGTGTTCGCGTGCAGACGGCCCGGATGCAGAGAACAACGGCACATGTGCTGGTTGTCCCCACGAGGCAGAGGCCCTCGGACGCTCCGCCTGGCCCTGCGCTGGTCGTGACCGGCGGGGCAGGTGCGTCCGAGGGCTCCGGGGAGCGCCGCGGGAGCCTCACCTTCCCCAGCTTCAGCTGCTTGACGAAGGTGGTTCTCTGGTTCTCCACCGTTTGCCCGGCTCCTTCCGCCTGCATCTGGAGAGCAGCGAAACAGAAAAAGAAGGCAGGCATCCAGTACACGACCTCCCCTGGCTGCGCTGCACCGCACCACTTCCGCAGGAACGCTTCGTGGACCCGGGTGCGGCATCCCGAGAGAGGCCGGTGGCACGACTCGCGGCGCCAGGAATACCACAGCCAGGGCCCCACATGAAGCAAGGGGGCTCCTTCCAGATTCTTGGCTGGAAGGGGAGTTGCAAGGGGGCAGCGCCCTGCTCAGGGTGGGACTCACAGGGGGCTCTCGGGAGCATCCAATGCTTACTCCAGGAAAGCTGCATGTGAGGCGAAGGCCCCCACCCCACCCCACCCCACCCCACCCCACCCCCCAGGAGGCCACCCTCTTGCTCCTGCCAAACTTCACCCAGCCTGTGCCTGCAAGGAGAAGCGACGGGGGGGACCCAACAGGCCCGCGGCGAGCACGCGGGGGCTTCTCTCACACGCAGGCTCCTGCGTGAACCCCGGACGAAGGCGACCCTGCCCCACGCCCTCTCCCCGAGACTAGGAGGAAAACTCCCACGTGACCCTCCCACGGAGGGTGACGGGCGCGTCTCCCCCGTCTGAAGACGCACCTTTGTGCAGTGCTCGCAAACGACGTCCCGAACGGACTCAGAGGAGATGAACTGGTGCAGGCAGTGGTCCAGCGTCAGGGGGCGCCCCTGTGCAGCAGGTGTCGGGGGAGAAACGCAGCGTGTCTGCGTGGCTCCGGGGAGGCAAGCTGGTGCTGCCGCGCTCCGTGAGGCCCCCCGCCGCCCCCCAGCCCCAGAGAAGGCAGACTCACCCACACAGCGGCAGGGATGCTCAGGGAAAGGCTGTCGAACGTGTCGTACCTGAGGGGGCTCTGAAAGACAAAGCTCCCCTGGCTTCACGCGCTCGCGCTTCGAGACGGGGGCTTCGAGAGGGGGACCCCCCGTGGCCATGCCCCCTCCCCTGGCCACACCCACTGCCCCCAAGCACCGGGGGCTGGATGGCTCCCCCCCTCCGTCCACAAGGCTGCAATCCCTCGTTAAGCCGCCCCACGCTGCTGCCTTGGGCCCCGTCCCATCCGATCTGCCACCCGGAAGGCTACTCGGAAGGTGAACTCGGGGAATTCCGCCTGAGCAACGGAGGGAAAGGCCTCTGGGGGGGCCCCGCGTGGCCTGTGCTCGCTGCTGCCCGTGCTCTGCCCCCCCCCCGCACTAGCGTGGCAAGCGAGGCGCCCAGCCCGCCCCGCCTCCTCCTCCCGCCTGCTGCTCGCGCACACCTGGTGCTTGCAGTGCTTGCAGACCATGTTGCTCGTCAGCCGCCCGTGGAAAGGGTGCTGCAGCCTCCAGGGGCTCCACACGGGATGAAGGGACCCTGCGAAGGCACGGGGCCGTTACCACGCGCCACACTGGCCTGTAAGCAAAGGGAGCCGCCTGCGAAGCCAACGGACACGCAGGGGTGCCGGAAGAAGGCGCGGGGGGCGTTTCATCGCCAGAGGGCGGAACCGGCACGTCGGTCGCGGGGCAAAGGGTGCGTGGGCACGGGCCCTGAGCTTTGCACGCAGCCTTTATGGAAGAAGGGTCCGTACCTTTTGTTCTGCTGAGTATTTGCTCGGGGGGGATTTCTGGCTGCTGCACAGACAAACACGAAATAGAGTTGGTTAAAAGTGAACAGACGACTTTGCGCCGAGCAAGGCCCTTGGGCTTCTCTGCGTTTGCACGCTTGGAGAGTCAATCATTCCGGAGAAGGCACAACGAGCCCCGGGAAGGGAGTGAAAGAAAGCCCCATTCAGCAAAGAAGGTGTGGGGGGAGTCTGCGCAGCACACCTCCTCTGGGGGTCTATTCAGAAGCAGGCCTCGATGAGTTCCATGGGAACTACTCCCAAGCAGCTGAGTGTCAGACCGCCTCCGAAACCGCAATCGTGTGCATGTCTCCCTGGCAAGAAGCCCCACGGGCAAGAAGTCGCCTCCACCTGGGCCTGGGGTGCCAGCAGGTGCCAGCAGGAGGATGCTCTCTGTTCTCTGACCTTGCACGCGTTTTCTGCTGCTCTCGTGGGTTCTTTGGCACCCTCTTGCTTTGCTGAGGTTGCCTGATGCTCCGGTGGAGTGGGGAGCCGGGGCCCCCTTCCCCGGTCAGCAAAGCACAACGGGGCCCAGAGGTGCCCATGCAGCCTGCCCCCGTCGCACCCAAGGCCCCCACAGCTTCTCCCCCACACTCACCTCCAGCGAGTGGACGTCAAACAAGTGCGTGACCCGGGGCCGTCGGTCCCACTCATCTTCCAGAGAGGAGGTGAGGACGTGGAACAGCTCGTGGGCATCCTGCCACAAAAGAGAGGGAAAAGATGAAGTTGTCAACATGGAGGCTCGGCCGAATAACAAGCTGCAGGGCAGAGAAGGGAGAGTTGTCCTTGGAGCATGTGGACAGCAAGCAAGCACAGGTGTGCGTACTCGATTAAAATGGAGAAACTGGGAGACAGATGACTCTGGGGAAGCAGCGCCCGTGTTGCTTCAGCTGGAAATGAAACAGAAAAGCAAGAGGAACTGCCAGACCCACAAGACTGGGTGCAGAAACGCTTTGTCGGAAAAGCTCAACCTCCTTTGAACTTCCCTGAGCAGAGGAACAGCTATTTGTAGTTCTTTTTTTAACAAACTGATCTTAAAATGTGGATGCTTTGGCATGAAATGCCAGCTTCCGCCACAAGTGACTGAGCCCCGGCCAAAGGCATCCCTTTTTGTCGAAAGAGGATAGCTGCTTCTGCTGTGTGGCCAGTTGTTAAAAATAAAAATTGTTGTAAGCCGCCCCGAGGCTTCGGCGAATGGGGCGGCATAAAAATGTTTTAATAAATAAATAAATAAAATAAAACGAGCCCGGGCAGCACACACAGGGCCACCTAGCTTCCCGCAGCAGCTACCTGCTCTTCGAAGGAGGAGATCTGCCATCGGTACGTCCGCAGCACCTCCAACAAGCAGCTTGCGTCCAGGAGGTCGTTGTCTGCAGCCTCCTGGCAGGATAAAGCTGAAAACACCAAACCCGGGAGAGAGTCAGTGTAGTCGTAGGGCCTGGGACAAGGGAGAAGGAATTCCTTCTTTCTCCCATCCTAAACTCGTTTGCTTTGATGCGAGAGGAAGCTTTTGCCACTTCTAAGCTCCAGGAGGGTGGCCTAAAAATGGCAAAACTGTAATGTGAAGGTTCTTTGTTATATTTATGGGGTGTGACTAGTTGGGCATCTGGTAGCAAAGGTTCCATTGAACTGTTTGCACTTGCAAATTTAAATCTTTGGGTACCGTGATGAATTGCTTCCTAAAACAATGTTGTGATGTTGTGTTCTGTGAACAGTTTTCACACCCACCCAAAGAAGATTTAATGGTCAATGAAACTGGGATCATGAGGAGGGGCTATACCTCAGAAGGCACTTGGTTCAATCTTGGCCAACCTGAACCAGCCCAGAGCTGACCGACACCTGAGGCCGTCCTCGGGATACTGCCTCCAAAGAAGACTGGGTGGCAACCAGTGGGGGGGGGGGGGTTCTCACTGAGGGCCCCCTCATTATGGAATGATCTCCTCAGAGAAGCCTGCCAGGTACCAACCTCGTCAGGTTTTGGCCCTAGGCTAAAACTGCCCAATTCTCTGAGGCATTTAATGACATGAAGAGGTATTTATGTTGCCTGACCTGGTTGTAGTTTACAAGGTTCAGTTCATACAAAAATTATTCATTTATTCAGTTTATATACCACCCAGGAGGCTCTTTGTTTTAGCTATTGTTTTTTAAATGTAGTATCTTGGGGAAATGCGCTTTTTCATTTTTGTCGTCTCTGCTTTCATGATTTTTTTATAATCCATCCAGAGAGCTTCAGCCATTGAAAGGCTAATGATAATAATGGTAAAGAATAAAATTCTTTAAGCCGAACCTTCTGCTTCAAAGCATCAGGTGGTAGGGGAAGCCCTCTTCTCCCACCGAGACCCCAAAGCGCTGGGAAGCTGACAACCTTGGGCTGCACGGACACACGGCCGGCCCAAGCACAGGCCGCCCCCGTGACCGGCTTTTGGGGTGCCCATCATGAACTCGGCGGCAGGGAACGTGCCTGGCAGGCCCAAGGCCCCTGTCCCAGCAAGACGGTTACCCTTCAAGAGGTGCAGCAACGTCAGGGACAGGCGCTGCTGGCCGGGTGTCTCGCTCTGGCCGGCCTGGCACTGCCCGGTGAACCGCTCCAGCCACCGGATCAAGGATGGGCAAGCAGACAGCCCTTGGAGCAGGGAGTTCATGAAGCACGTGTTCCCCAGGTTGAGCAGACCCGGCACCAGCCCTGGAAAAAAGGCACCGCAGTCAGAACATCCTGGCCGGCCACCCCGCTTCCCTGCCCCAGTCACTCCTTCCCAGACTCTGCCGCACACGGCGCAGCTGAGCCGCAGCACCACCGAGCCATTAGTGCCTCTTCAGGCGGGACTCAGAAGCGTAGCTCGGACTCAGGGAGCAAAGTGCGCCTACTCCTTTGTCCCTTTCCTGTCTCTCTTTCTCTCCAGCACACACGTACCTTTCTGGCGCTTTTTCCTCTCCGTGATGGGGCCCCACAGCACGTAGATGCTCGCTGCAAGGGCAGCCGCAACCCCACCGATCATGCCCCAATTCTTCATTACTCTGGACCTAAGAACAGGAAAGGAGAGGAGTGAGCGACATCATCTGCCTCCAAAACTCAGGTGGCTTGCTGGCCATGGGTAAAAAGAAACCAGACGAAAAATGCGGAGGGGATCCAAAGTCTGCTGTTAGGCAACGCCTGCGTTGGCTTGTCCTGATAAAGGTGTTGACAATGCACGGCTGCCGTCTTGTTCCAGCAACCAACAAGCCAAAGGGGCTCCCTGTGAGAACAGCGGAAAGCCACATTGCCCTTCACGGCCAGCACGACGCAGGGCGTTCGAAGCCCTTTTCGTGCACACAGTAGCAGTGCACCTAAGAGCCCTGTGGGATCCGTGGGTATCATTCCCTCTGTATTTCAGGAGCCAGCCATAGCGGCCAGGAACGAAGCGAGCCACAGGCTAATACATCTGGGCGGTGGCAGGTTGGGGATGGCTGGTTTGCAGCAAGGAGTAAGAACCCAGTAAACAGTATTGAAAGAAATAGCACTTTCCTAACTTTGCTTCCTATCCAAGATAGACAGCCATTGAACTCCACATTCACGGCAGAGAGCTACAAATGCATGCCAGAAAGCCCAAAGAGGCCAGCTTGATGATCAGACTGAAGGACCTTCAAGCCCAGGATCCTGTTTCCAACAGTGGATGGCTAGTTGCATCCCCAAAGGCCATGAGCAGAGCGAGAAGAAAGGCTCCCCAGGTGCCTGCCGCAGCACATGCTGCTTCTGAACCTGGCCAGTTCTTGAATGCATCAATTGACTGACGTTTTTCTTGTTTTAAAAAAGGTGTTTACCAGTGCATCACATTTTATAATATAAAATAGCTGAAACTTTCTGGGCAATTCGCAGCAATTAAAACCATTTAAAACAACACATTATTATTTATTCCAAGTCTACAGCGCCCCACATTTACTGCGTAAGGGCAACAATCCTATGCGTGTTTAGCCAGAAAAAGTCCTACAACTCCCAGCATGCCCTAGCCAACTAGGAGCATGCTGGGAGTTGTAGGGCTTTATTTTTTCTGCCTAACACGTTTCGGATTGCGTCTTCATTGTTTCTGTTCTTTTAAACGTTGTATGATTACATTTAGGAGTCGCCTTGATAAATTCATAAGAAGAAACTGTGTATAAGAGAAAAACAATAATGCTCTAAAGCCAATCCGCCCAGTGCCCCGCCTCCAAGAGCTGTCAGCAACAAGGCAGAAACGAGGACTCGCCCGTCCAGTCCCGTCCCCTCCTCCTCCTCCATGAGGACTAGCACCCACCCAAATGCTACGGCGCGCCAGCAGGCTGACCTGGCCCCACTGCCGGCCCGCAGGAGCCGCCTGACCGCCGCCTGGTCCGCCTCCTCCCCGCGGCGGCGGCTCAACAGCATTCCACGAAGCCGCCTCGCCCGACCTCCCGCAGTCGCTGCAGCCGGGCAGGACCGAAGTTGCGGGGCCCGCGGGGAAGAAAGAGCAGGTGGACCGGAAGCGGCCGACCCGGACACCTTTAGTGGCTGCGCCGCCGCCGCCAACCGGCGGCCCCCTCCGTCGCTGGTGGCTAATAGGTCCGGCGCTCAGTGACGGCCGGCCGGCCCCCGCTGCCCTCAGCCGATCGTTCCCGTTGGAGAGGTTGGGGGAAACAGTCCCGCAAAAGGTTTTCTTTTCCTTACGATGAGACGAGGTGCATTTTGCTCCGTCCGAAAAGAGGGGGGAAGTCCCCGTGTCTTATGAAGAAGGAAAAGGGGGAAATAAACATTCTTGATTTGCCTTTCTAATGCAATCAAAGCTAAGGAAGGCCTGGAGTAGCTTTGTAAAAGATGAAAAATGCAATCCGACACAAGAACTTAAAACGAGGCTTGAGAATGTGCAATGTATTTTTATGTATTTTCATTTTTACTGTATGGCATGGGATAGAAGAATTTGAAATGTGGATTTATCTCAAGATGCTACAAATTTCATGGATCAAGGGGATGACCAATAAAGTATTAGATTCATTTATTATATGCATATATATATATATATCTGAATTCTTCCATTTAAGGTATGAACCATGTACATCCATCGCACTTTAAAGGGAAAGGTCCCTGGCCCAGGGGGCTTTCAGTCTAACAAGAGACCCAAAAAATGGGAGGAGAATATGCAGTATTTCACCTATATTTAAAGTAGGTTAAAAATAATGAGGAAATCCCTCACAATATAATGCAAAACCCAATACTGTATACAGAAATGATCATAATTAAAACATAGACCATCTCCTAATGGAAGTATGTATTTAATTTGTATACCCACCCCCCTCGTCCCACAGCTGAAGCTCTCTGCGGGACTCTACTGCCAATCTCCACAATGGATACAGGACCACATGAAACTGCCTCTCTCAGATATGCTGCACATAAGAAACAGGTCTTGGGAAACTTCCACCCAATTCTCACTGATAGTTTCCACTATCCCACAACTTTCTTCAGCAAGCTGCACTGAAATTGTGTATGTTCAAGTCATGCCTGTCAACAAGCTTGATGACAGTTTTCGCAGTCCTCTACTGCTAACTGCGTAAACGCGTTCAACATACCAGCTGCGGAGAAGGGCAGCACCTGCTGCCACAGTGCCTGGTATCGATTCACTCCCGACCCTGACCTTCCGTTTGCTCCCCTGCTGGCAGGAGCTTGTGAGAAAGGGGCCCTTGCCGCCTCCGCGCCATGGCAGGAGCCGCGAGGGCCGCGGAGGGGAAGGGCCCGTGCAAAGGAGCCGCGCTTCGCACCCCGGTGCGTTGCAGAGGGAGGCGGGCGGGAGGCAGCCGCCCCGCGGGGGCAGCGTCGCCGAGCCGGCGCGGCGCGGGGTCCCAGCCAGCGGGCCCCGCCGGGAGCTCCCCGCGGTCCTGCTCGCCCCCCGCGGCCCGCAGAGGGCTTGCGCGCCCGCGCTTCCTCCGAG